AGGAATGTATCTACGAGTGTACCAAATTTTCTGAAATGAAGAATAAATATATGCACACTGGAGAAAAACATCCCTCAATTACCTAGGAGGACTTTGCAAATACTACTCCAAATTACAAAGGTGATTGAAGCTAATACAATAAACCTGACAGTTTCTCAAAAAAAAATTTACACACGTCCTCAGAAGGAAGAAAGATGCCTGTTTCTGAGATGCGCTGCTTTTGTTTGTAGACATGGTTCAATAAAACGTTTGTCCTCAAACAGAAAAATAATTAATAGATTCTCCAATTTCTACAATTCATGTTAATGAAAGCATGAGCGTTACTGTAAGCATGGTGCTTTCTACAGGATTCTAGAAGAAAGGTCTTTTGGAAAAATCTTTAAATCACTGGCAGAACGTCACTAAAGACAGCCTAAAGTAGTTTTGGGTTTTTTTTCACTGACCAATTCAACATGTTAGGTAAAAAGAGTTCATACTGCCTAAAAGCAGCTTATACAGAAAGCATTGGCCCAATAAGCTAAGGTTTTGACTTTTCTTTCTCCCAACTATCCTTGCATTTGCAGTATGTAAGCATCCCTAGAATACTAATAATAACCCTTTACTTAAGGTTTACTTATCTTGGAAAAGCATCATGGCAGCTACCAAGGGATCTTTTAAGATGGGCACAGCACCATCCAGATCACCTCTTTCAGCATTTTCCATTTCAAAATCATAGAATGGTTAGGGTTGGAAAGGACCTCAAAGATCATCTAGTTCCAAACCCCCTGCCACGGGTAGGGAAATCCTCCACTACACCAGTTTGCTCAAAGCCTCATCCAACCTGGCCTTGAACCCCCCCAGGGATGGGCCAGCCACAACTTCTCTGGGCAACTTGTTCCAGTGCCTCACCACCCTCTGAGAGAAAAATTTCTTCCTTATATCTAATCTAAATCTCCTCTCTTTCAGTTTAAAGCCATTGCGCCTTGTCCTATCACTACACGCCCTTGTAAAAAGTCCCTCTCCAGCTTTCCTGTAGGCCCCCTTTAAGTACAGGAAGGCTGCTATAAGATCACCCCGGAGCCTTCTCTTCTCCAGGCTGAACAACCCCAACTCTCTCAGCCTGTCTTCATAGCAGAGGTGCTCCAGCCCTCGGATCATCTTTGTGGCCCTCCTCTGGACCCGCTCCAGCACCTCCATGTCCTTCTCATGTTGAGGACTCCAGAGCTGAACACAGTATTCCAGGTGGGGTCTCACAAGAGCAGAGTAGAGGGGCAGAATCACCTCCATCAATCTGCTGGCAACGCTTCTTTGGATGCAGCCCAGGATGCGGTTGGCTTTCTGGGCTGCCAGCGCACATTACTGGCTCATGTTGAGCTTCTCATCCACCAGCACTCCCAAGTCCTTTTCCTCAGGACTGCTTTCAATCCATTCGGATTGCCCCGACCCACGTGCAGGACCTGGCACTTGCCCTTGTTGAGCTCCATGAGGTTCTCACAGGCCCACCTCTCCAGCCTGTCAAGGTCCCTCTGGATGGCATCGCTTCCCTCCAGCATGTCCACAACACCACACAACTTGGTGTCATCTGCGAACTTGCTGAGGGTGCACTTGATCCCACTGTCCATGTCACTGACAAAGATGTTAAATAGCACCAGCCCCAGTAGTGATCCCAGAGGAACACCACTTGTCACTGGTCTCTACTTGGACATTGAGCAGTTGACCACAACTCTCTGAGTGTGACCATCCAGACAAGTCCTTACCCACTGAGTGCTCCATCCATCAAATTTGTGTCTGTCCAGTTTAGAGACAAGGATGTCGTGTGGGACAGTGTCAAATGCTTTGGACAAGTCCAGGTAGACGATGTCACTTGCTCTTCCTTTATCCACCAGTGCTGTAAACCCATCACAGAAGGCCACTAAATTTGTCAGGCACAATTTGTCTTTAGTGAACCCATGTTGGCTGCCACCAATCACCCCCTTAT